GGATGAAGTGTTAGGTTCACTCTTTTTACATTCTTCTTTTTTGATAGGGTTGTGACTAATGATTAAAAAGTAAATTAATTAATGATTGAATAATAAATTTGTTAAAATTCACCCTCTTTAGATGCTTTTTGTTGACTGAAAAAAATCGATTTTATACCTTGTTTCCATAATTTGATTTTGATATGTTCATTGGCGTACATGCTATTTTAAAGATTAAACTTAATAAAATAAATTATTCCCATTAATTGTTTATTATTCTACCTTCCTCCAAATATATTGACGGATTAATGTGAATAAAAAGCGATAAAAATCTACTTTAATCGGCAATGGGACTCAAGACATCAACATTCGGACAATGTTTTTTTTTCGGTTTTAATGAAGTAGTGAACTTTTGCAGATATTATGTGGAGATTCCAAGTGTCCACGCAGGCGTGACAGTGAAGTAATTTCGTTTACTGTTGGGTTTTGATCTATGAAATATCAGTTTTTTCTGCTTTCTACTTCCCATGTGAGAAAAATTATGTTTACCAGTTTATTGTGTTGGTTAAAAGAAATGATCACCAAAATATCTGAAGAAATGAAACAGTTGTTTATAGGAAATGACACATCAGAAAACTTCCCAAATAATATCCGTCAAATTTTTTATACTTTGCTTTCTGTGTCGTTCTCTGCTGATATTGCATTGCTGCCTGATCATGGGCCACATGTTTTCAGTTGTTGAAGTGTTAATTTATCAAACGTTGTTGATTTTGTGCTGCATAATATTTAATCATCCTGCCCATAAAAGTAAAAAATACAGAGATGCAAAAGATAAGCATTAAAAAAATTGCTCTTTCTTCTTCCTATTTAAGAATTTGCTTTGAGAACATTAGTCTTGGTACAGTATTTTACATTTATCTCAGATCTCACCATCAAAATTTGGCGGGTTCCCACTAGTCTACTTTCAATATGTTTAAGGAACTGTTATGATCTTGTGTACTTTGGCCTCACTTGGTCATAAACATCTCATGACTAATTTATGAATTTGAGATTTATGTATTCAAATTTTTATGCGATAAAATACTATGAGATACAAATTAAAGTGTTTGTATCAGTGAACCCCACTGCAAAAAGTAATTCATATGTGGCCCATAATTGCAGCTTATCACTGAATGGGCCTCCCTGGAAATCCGAAATGTCGGATACCCTGCTGTAGCAACAGTTTCGTTCCTTCTTTACTGGTGGCGTTCCTTTGCGTGACAACGCGTATGCGGGCATGATCTAAGGCTTCGAGGGAGGCGTGTGTGATAAAGTACGAGAGCGTGAGAGGTGTGGCAAACTTTAAGGGGCGAGCGATTGCTACTGAGGACCGTACTTTAAAAAAACTACTACTGTTCTACGTAAACTGATCCAGACGTTGTAAAATGAGCGGTCTTGATATTTTCACCGTTTCAGGCTGACTTTATGACGCTTTTTCTTATCAGTTGTTAACGTCATAGTGAGAAATTTCCATCTGCCAGTTTGTGAAGTTACAACCCTTTGTAGGAATGTCCTTGCCTTACTGATGATGTAAATGAGACATTTGAAAATGCAGTAGGAGAATAGTATTTCACTACGCAGGTCTAAATTGTCTGAAATGTTGAAATTTGATGTTTTTATCTAGGTAGATTCATAAATTACTAACTCGCTCTTTCGTGATTTCAACTTGCAGAAAAATAGTATTTTTGTTTAAGTTTGAAAATATAGTTTTTTATTATTTATTATTTTTTCCTATCAATTATTTCCTTATTTTTTCCTATCAATTGTTTTTTAATTAGCTGAATAAAACGGAGCGTTGAAAATTGTACAATGCCGATGAATAATTTACGAATAGATGAATGAATACAAAATACGAATTACAAGATTTTAATTACATCATTTGGCTATTTTGAGGATGTCGAAAAAATTGACTATCTGAACAGAATATATGAACTTCTAAACAAATTGGAAGTTATGTAATGCTTTTGCACATATGAACTGGGTCATAAGTAACGATTACCTTATTTGGCCTTCTCGTCTAAAATCTCCGCACACTATAGAAAGCCTATTCTATAGCCACACTGCCATAACTCCGTGGCATATTCTTTCAATATATTAATTTTTATTTTCCCGTATACATACTATATATGGAGTAATGTACGTAGTATAGGGAAAGTTATGTGGAACTGCGCGAAAAAACGGCGGATTTTCGGCAGAAACAAATTCATTGGCGGGTCCTGATATTGAAGAAATGGATAAATCCAGTTGCTAAGCTAAGAAAAAACATCCCCTAACATGTGGTATAGCCAGAATCTCTGTTTTGTGGGTACTCGATGCCGAAAACCCAATTGGCGGCAAGAAGCCTGTTCGTCTGTCAGTCTGTGAACACTACTAGCGCCAAAACCATACGTACGATTTTTTACAAAATGTATATTCGCCGGTCAATCAGGCTCCACTCGAAGCTCCGCGATTTTGAAAAGCTTTCTTCAAAATCAGGGGGACTTTACCCAAACCCTCTGGACATTTTCAAAATTTTCTCAAAAACGGCTCCAAATTTTTTCTTTAATTTTCCTGTAAGAATAGAGTAATATACACTTTTAAAGGTGGCATAACTCTGAATTTTCGGAAATTGCAAAAGAATGAATTTTTCTTCCTACATCCATAAAATTAAAGTAAAGAGATTTTTCCCTCATATAAAATTTGTTGTCAATAATTAGTTCTTTCATTAAGGTCAATTTAAGGAAATATTTAACTGCTTTTCGGAAGTCGGTCACTGACTGGAATTGGATCCGAATGTTTTGACTCTTGAATTCAGTAGTGAAGTTGGATGAGAAGTTCGATTGTATTTCAATTGCGAGAGTAACTTGATATTCAATATTAGTAATTAAAATTGGTAGAATTTTATTTTCGCCACTTAGATCATCTGGGATCTGTTCGTTTAGCCAACTAAATCTGTTTTTGATTTATACATTGTATTGACTTTGTAAGTTCAACCCTGCCGAAAGCTGACTGTCTGTGATAACACGTTTTAGGTCTCTGTTATCATTGTCGTTATGGCTGGCTCTCTTTCCTTGGGGCATTATCTTGTTCTGATTCAGTTAGGTTGTAGTATCAGACTGTTATGAATGCATTTGTTCCTCGGGCTGGTCTGATGAACCGGCTCCGAATTGGATGTTGTTACTTGCATTTTGTTGATGTTGAGGCGGTATTTCGGTGCGTTTCATGCTGTCCGAGAAATTCACGTTACTTTGGTCGGACACCATATCAAATAACGTCTGAATTACATAACGAATTTAGGGCTTCATTGACCAAATGCCCTATGCTGGATAAATCATTGTTATTCATTCAACTACTAAAGCAAATACTAATTCACTACTGAAGCACTAATAGTGAATGATTACGACCATTGGCACTATTTCGAACACTACGTCACCACTGTTCCTAACGTTCTGAGCGATGTTGAATTACACTTTCACACTTAATGACTCTGCTGCTATTAGTGGAGCGACTGCTCTGGCCCGCAGCTGAAGCGAGAATACCTATCTAGTATCTGCCCCGCGGAAATGATAGCAAGTACGAAAAGTGTCGAAACGTTTTTGTTATACATCAAAAACTGAAACTATTGTGACACAAACGAGCAGAAAATGTTTGTTATGTATTGATAAATACATCTACGCACGTTTCATTTCTTTGCAATTTACAGTCTTTCCCCGCACATGGTGTTTTCTGCGTACTGAAATAGAATTAGTATGCCACTGTTAATGTATTGATGTTAACTTTATTTAGCTGGAAATCCAATAACAACAATGTAATGCTCCTAATAAAATGTGAGAGCTAGAATAATCTGTAACAGCAACTAATGATGCAGCGCGGCTTTCATTAGTGAGTTGTATTGCAGGATTTTTTCAATAAAATATTCTGGTCATTCAGAAGCATCATCAATATTTCACGCCTCTAATTGGACCAATTTTTACCTTCGTAAATTAACAGCAGTTAAGAACACACATTTTAATTTGGAGTTAATGAATCGGGGGAAATCGTTACAGTCCTCAAAGTGCGGGTCCTGTCATGAGGCAATGAGGTCGTAAACCGAGAGTCAGGAGAAGGTTTTTGTGGGATGAAAATTTGGGAAGGTAAATAATCTACTCTTCGTAAGTCACTAACATACTTTTCCATACTCCTCAAGCAGTTGTAATTTTTTCCTAGTGAGCTCGACGAATAAACGTTTGACAGGAGAAATTGCAAGGTGAAACCGACAGAAACAAATTTTTAAATAACAATTTCCAAAATCTATTTACAAAGTTTTGACGCTTTTGCACACCAAAGATGAGTTAATTTAATTTACTCACGGCATTCATAGATTGTAAATGAAAACTCAGATAAATTCTCGTGTGCAGCCAACAGATTCCTATGTGCTGCATACTGCCAATTAACGAAAAACGATCTAAACAGGTATTCAGTTTACTGTAGCACCGTTGTCATTTATTACTTAGCTGTACATTCGATTCATTTACTCAGGCAGCAATTCAATATTTACTTTGTTTCATAAAACATGTTTATTTAAACTTTTCTAACGTTATTGGGAGTATTAGATACTTTTTTCGCAGTGTAAAATAAACTAATTTGATTCATGTATCTGTGAAGAGACACATCATTGAAATAAATGATACGATTACTTGGATGGGTGAAAACCAGAACGGTATAAGTGATATTTTATAAATTCAGAGATATATGTTTATTTAAGTCAATATTACTGTAAAGTCGTGATGCTTTGTTTCATCATTAAATCCACGGCATTTAAATTGTTAATTAAAACCACGAAAATACATTGCCACGGAAATATAGCCTTAAATAAACACGTTTTTCTCGGAGTTAGTAAAACGCCACTCATACTGTTCTGGTTTCCACTCATTCATTTTATTTTGTGAGGGTCTATAACTCTTCCGAAAGCTATACGCCGTCCTCGCACAGTCGGCATTGTTATTGGTGGACTTTAAACTGAAATGCGTTGTGGTTCCTGGGGCGTGTTGCAGCAAGCGATGGCAGTACTGCAGGAGTCGCAGGCGCGCCAGCTGTGCCTCTCGGCGCGCGACATCTTCCTGCAGCAGCCCATGCTGCTGGAGCTGGAGGCGCCCGTCAACATCGTGGGCGACATCCACGGCCAGTTCGAGGACCTGCTGCGCCACTTCGACAAGCTGGGCTATCCGCCGGCGGCCAACTATCTCTTCCTGGGAGACTACGTCGACAGGTACGCGGCCCCTCCTCCCGCTTTGTTTGGGTAGAGCCCTGAAGGAATTGAATGCGTAATGAGATGGCATCAAAACCCTAAAATAGCTCAGTTGTGTTATTTGAAGAAGTGAATCGCGGAATACTTCGTAGAATATTTGAACGCATCGCACAAAGTAGGTCTTAGTTCATAGACACTCTCAATGCTCACAGATGCGCTCTAGCGGCAACCTCTTACAAACTACTATTAATTAGTTATGTGATTCTGGGCCACTCGTCGTGTCCGACCGCTGTGGCTTGGTAGCAGTGACATTCACCCCCGAGCACGATGATAAATATTGCCACAATATATAAATCGATTATCATAACGTTTGGTTTATGGTTGAGAAAAGGATGGTTATTTATTCAGCGTGTATATAATTAGAACAAGTAACATTTATTCATATTAAATGCACCAGAATTTGTGATAGATATGTAGACAATGCATAGAATTAGGACTTGAAGGGTCAAAATTGCGGAGGCTAGCTGACTAGTAAATGTCGCCAGCACAGAGGGAGTGGAGACTTCAGGAGGCAGCAGGACGGCACTAACGAGATACAGGGAGAGTTCTTCCCACGCACAAGACACAATTTAGTTCACGAACACCGCAATTACGGCGCGACACTGATTTCAATTCATGCATCGGTGAACGGAAATAGTTTGTAATGTATAGTTGCAGTTATGAAATTAATCATACGTTATGTTCTTGGCCGTTGTATTGAAATACACTTTAAGAAGCACATAATTGCTAATGTTGAAGTGACTAAGAATTGGACTTTGAATTGCACAAACGCATCAAAACTTTACCTGGCCAGCAGACGCGTCTGCCTATCGCGGACATCTTCTAGAATGTAATTTAACTGAACATTTGCTGCAGTGGAAAATGCGTTAGAGCATAAACAAAGTAGGGAGTGCTTTCATCAGTTTGATTAACAGATTCTAAACATTCTAGAAACTTCTGTCTGCTGGCTTTATTCGATTGGATGTATACATACGCGGCCGCTATCATAAGAACTGGGGTTTCCCGAAATTCAGCAGCGCACTGCACGTGTAGAGGTCAGGTATCCTGACCCTACCATCCTTTCTTCAGACGCTGCGTTGAAATAGCCAGATTCCAGCACCGTTTGATAAGACGGCGCCAATGACACAAATACAATGATCAAAGTATGAAAAATGCGCTCACGTGTCCTCGCGTGAAATATAGACATAAATATAACTTTAGAAGGGCATGTATGGTACTTATACAACACTTTTGTTCTTGCCCGGGGATCGACTAAACTCTTCGCGCGGCGATCAGTTAAGTCTATCTTTTTTTTTTATTT